TAAAAACATATTATTAAGCCTAAGCGAATTCTCTTACAGCCCTCAAGAAGAAGAAGCATTGATTGACATACAAATGTTCCACTTAACATGTTTATTTATTTATTTTGCAGAAGCACAATAATAGTGACATCACAAATTCACAATAGCCATTCATGACTTGGTACAATCTACTGAATCAAGAATACTTCCAAGAAAAAAAAAAAAAAAAAAAAAAAAAAAAAAAAAAAAAAAAAAAAAAAACATACACGTTTTCAAAGAGTTAACCCAATTCCTTTTGTTTTCCCCTCAAACGGAAAGAAAAGGTGCGCGGAAAAACAAAAATGAATGAGAAAACGAAAAATATAATTTCAAATATAAGTGATAAAACGACAGATTATGAATGAGGTTTAGGAACAAGGCGTGTAGAGCAAATGGTGCAATAGAACTTGGTCTTCTTTTTGTGGGAATTTGGAATTGGAATGAAACAAAAAAGCAAATGAGCGTCAAAATCCCAAGCCAAAACCGGCCCTCCACAATATGGACACGCCGCTCCAGCCCCTTGTTTGCCTATTACTTTCTCCTGCAAATTAAACACTGCTAAAGCACCCATTTCTGCTGAAAACCTTCTTTCTTTCTTTCTTTCTTTTTTTTTTTTTGTTGTTGTAATTTTCTCGGGAAAATCCTTGTTCTCCTTCGTAATGAGATTTACAAACTGCATACTCTTTATATATTGAAGCGGAATGAACTCAATTAATTGTATAGTATTGCATAGAAAAAAGGAGAAAAGTCTCCCGGCCCATTGAATGGGTCCAATAGAAATTTAACTTGGTCGGACAGGATTTGAAAATTCGGTGCAAAGTTTCTGTAAATTGGCAAGAAGTTCCTTCGCTTTAGTGATATGCTAAAAGCTTCACGAGGCAACGTATTGGAAACTCAAACGGTCAAACCTTTTCTTTTATTCTTCGAAGAAGTGCTCAGTGGGCCCGTCACTAGCTTTTTCAATCTTGTTGTGTTGTTCTTGTTACAGTGAAATGTTTGTTAGCGTCGTCCTTTTTTTTTATATATTTATTATTTAACATATAAATTTTATTAATATAATATATTATTTAAATAAATAATAAAATAATAAAATTTACGTGTTAAATAATAAAGTAGTGACGTTAGTATTTTAATTTAAGTTGAGACGTGACTTTATGTGAGAATTTTTTACTGTAATAAAAAAATTAAATGTGACTGTTTGTGAGAATTTTTTACTATAACAAAACTCAAATCGGTGAAATAAACAGAACCTAATAATATAAAAAATTTCTTAAGTTTATAAGATGACATCACGTTAGTCGATAGTGTTACGTATTTATTTCACGTAACCTCTAAATGATTTTTTTTTTTTTTTTTTTTTTTTTTTTTTCCCTTAACCCCTAAATATTTTTTTTTTTTTTTTTTTTTTTTTGTAGATGATTGAAACTCATAAATGAAATATTCCAATTTTTTTATGTTACTTGTAAAGTTTGTAACAAGTAATATATAACGACACGTTAATCGTTGTGCATTTTCGAAAACATTTGTAAAGAATATGAGGAAATCCAAGCTTCATAACTAAGTTTTTTTCTTCTTATTGTAATAAGTTTTGGCATGTGAGTTGTCGGTTACCGTTTTTAAAATAATTTCATTTTTAATACAAAAATAAAAATAAAATTATTTTGAGAATTAATTTGGGACTAATTTTGAAATTACGTTTAGTTATTTTTTTAAGAGATTGTTTTGAGTATAATAAAAAAGTGAAATCGTATTTGGTTATAATTATTAATTAATATATTATAACATTGTTAATAAGCATTAGGAAATGAAAACAGAAAAGGGAAAACAACTTTCAACCGTTTTTTAATTTTTTCACAAAAATTATTCTTACTTTTTTTATTTTCGTTTTCAAAACATTTGTTAACAAACACGGTTTACAGACCGTTTTTATTTTTGTGTCTTAAAAGACGTGCATAAACGTTTTAAAAAATAAGTAAAAATCAATTTCAAATGCACCCGTCATATTTTAATTAGTAAATACAATCTCTTATTATTAATTGATATGACAGTGCTTTTAACACCTATTAATATAAAATGAAAATTCATATATTACATGAGTTGGTATACAATATTTAATACTTGAGTTGGTTTCCTTAACATTATTCATGATTTTTATAAAAAAGTTTGCTAGATCGTAAAGATATTTGTGTTCTAGTAATTAACAATTAATTGAGACATATTCAATTTTGTTTAATTGATTAAATTTTATACAACTATTAGAACCGAGTATACTTTCAGAAACTATGTGATGTTTAATTTTAGGCAAAAATAGATAATAAACTTCATGTTTAGTGTACATATTTTTCTTAGTAATTGGTTACATGGTTCTACTGAAAATTCTTAAGGAAATAACAAATTAAAAAATTAACAAAACCCTTTAAAATTTTAACGTTGATGTATTATAGAAAATTTGCATACCTCAAACTAGTGGCATGTGGCAAAGCTCAATTACATTTACATATTCCAGCCGAGAAAAAATTGTATTAACATAAAGCCCACGTGTAAGCCACGTGCTCTTCCTATCCAGGCATACACATAGATACTTTCTGAAAATTGACTTTAAGACTATGTACTACATAGTATGTACTATGCAGAGGGTTATTTATTTATTTATTTATTTTTGGGCGTGGACTAAAACTCACAATTTCAAAGTTTGGGGACCAAAAAATAGACCATTAATATGATTAGGGACGAAGTGGTCCTATTTATTTTTGCTCTAATTTTCTATAATGCTCGGAGAATTTGTGAAGTTTTGAGCTGTAACTTTTCAAAAAAAGACATGGAATGGAAGGATGAATACCAAACCTTTAACATTTGTTTTAAATTTTATTAATTCCAACAATGAAACACATAATCATGTGCACAGAACGTTTGCATTACATCAATAATACGATACTAAAATACAAGTGTATATATATATATATATATATATATATATATAGTCATTCCATGGCAAAAGAACCAAAAAGGAGAAGAAGGCGGCAAGCTATGATTTGGCCGCAGGAACAAGGCGTGTGGAGCAAATGGTGCAGTAAAACTTGGTCTTTTTGGTTTTGTGGGAAATTGGAATGAAACAAAAGAGCAAATGAGCATCAAAATCCCAAGCCAAAACCGGGCCTCCACAATAAGGGCAGGCTGCTCCAGCTCCTCGTTTGCCTATTACCTTTTCTTGCAAATTGAACACTGCCAAGGCACCCATTTCTCTCCCTAATTGTTTACCTGCTTTCTTGTTCCATATATACGCGTGTGTGTGTATATATATATATATATAGTCGAGAGAATAGAAATTCTTAATTGCAATTGCGACCAATTTTCTTTGAATCTTTTTGAGTCTGAAGTTGTCTGAGGGAAATTTCCTCGCGTCAACAATTGGAACTTCTGGGAAAGCAACACGATGAGCAGGCTTGGAGCTGTACCTTCAATCATGCATTAAGTTTAAGTAGTGGTGGGACCCAACCATTACTTACAGAATTTGCAATGCCGACTTTTGTTTGTTTTATTTAAACGCAAGTTTGCCCGAAGGTTTCTTTGAAAGTTCCGACATAGAGGCTGGCACCAGCAGAGTAAATGGACCGACTTTTTCAACGAAATTTCAGGTGGGACCCACCAGTATTTCCACAGAGCTTTTTCCTTTTTCGACGGGTGATTTGCTCCGGTAAACTACTAATTTATCTTTAGAAAATTAATAATTTACTAAAACTAAAATCATGATAAATCAAAAGAAATATTTTCATAAATGCCCATGAAACTTGGACCATTTTTTTTAAAATGCCTTTTATTGTTTAATACTGTTCCAAAAATCTCCTAATCTATAGAAAACCGTTCAGAATACCCGTCTAGATTCGTTTATAAATCAAACATGTCATTAAAAGTAAACTAAAACATTAAATTATAATTAAATCTATAAAAAAGATTAAATATTAAAAAAATCATAAAAAATGAATTTTTTCGGTAGGGGTGGTACTTTTGCACTACTGGTAGCGAACGTTCTCAAGAGCGGCCTAATTAGAAAGGAAAGTTTTTAAAAATACCTTTTGAATTAGAGTTCCCTTTATTTCTAACTCTTAACATTAATTCATAAAAAAGTTACTCAAATATGGGCTAATAAAATTTTCCTATTAAGTCATTTTTACAAAAGGCTCTTATTTTTCTATCTTTTAAACTAGAACTAGTTAAATAGTAAAAAAAAAATTTAGTAATTCACGTATTTAAAGAGTATATGAAATTTTTTTCAATTAGAAACTGATCCATTAAGCTTATAGACGAATCTGGATGGATGAGGCATTTTGAGCAATTTTGAACAATCAAAGTGCATTTTGAAAAAGGATCCGTAGCTCAACTCATTTCTGAATGAAAATAATCCCATATCAAAAGAAGACATTATGGATATTTTATGAAAATGCTAAGATGGGTCCCATCATTGATGACTTTTTGAAAATGCCAAAATGGGTCCCAAATTTTAGCTATTGATAAAAACGGGACTTGAAATTTCTCCTCAACTTTATTGCATTTTACACTTGCAAGCAAACCAGGCCCTCCCCTCTTTTTTTTTTTTGGTTATTAAATTTACATGACAGAACAACAATACAACACAGGAACTACAATAATAAATGCATTTTAATGCAAGAGAGACGAAATGACCACAAATTGAAGTCTCCAACCTTTCAGGATCTATGTTCAAACGAAGTTTAGAAAATTCCGACTGATTGAATTAATAAATAACCATCTATCTTTAAAGGAAGAGAGCAATCTCAAAATGCACAATACACTGTGCACGCGTGAAACAGAGCACTAAAAAGAAGCATGGCAATCACATTAAAGTTACTTCACAAAAAAGAAAGCCACGTCAAACTTGACCAAAACAAAAACTTATGTTTCTACCAAAAAAAAAAAACAAAACAAGAAACAAAAGACTAGTGTTTATTTTGGTCTCTTTTGCGGGATGGGAGAGGTACCAAAAAAAAAACAAAAACAAAAAAACAAAAGAAATATAGAAGAGCTGCTTTTCGTAACAGTAAATCTCTACATAATGAACAACGAAAATACGATGAATGCTAAATGAATTTCACCATGACGACATTCCATGTATACAATGTACACTCCCCTCACAACTTAAAAAATAAAATTAAAAAAAAAAGAAGAAAACCCCTTTCATGTTAACGCTCAAATGATTGGCAATAACCAGTTCACCGCATGAAAAAAAAAAAATTGCACATACCAAGCAAAAGTGTCAATCATGGGAACAAGTCCGTTGGATTGTGAGCCTCAATATCAACATGTCGTATGCCGGGAACGAGATACTGGATCTCTTTCTCTAACCTATCAACTTCACTTCCTAAAGCTGTGACCACTTCCTCACCTGCAATAAGAAACTTGTCAGAAATGTTGTAAATACAACTTAATTGGAAAGCGGATTGTTCGGGGCATCGCTTACCATAATTTGACATGATCTTGAGTAGTGCGGCATCATCGTTTTCCTTTGCAGCTTCACGGAACTGTACATGGTCAACTCAGTCAACAAGAATTTTCATACTTATTAGGAAAAACCCCTTGTTTTAGGGGGAGAAAGAACACTTGACTACAAATTAACATCACATTATATAAAAACACGTTATTACTCAAGTTTTATCATTAGAAACCATGAGTTAGAAGCAACAAAAGTTTAACTGTTACAAACCAATTGGGTAGAACTCACCCCTGCAAACCCTTTTGTAAGGGGATCATCTTATATTTATCCCACATGGGATTTTTAGCATCTAACATCAACATCGAAAAAAGTATGAACTTGAAAGCACTATCTGTGTATATCACTTTATTGAATTTAAAGACATCAAGTTTAAAGCAGGCATTCTGAACTTGTGGAACTTAGATCAATTAGGAGGCAAAATATGCATATAAATATAATATTATTAATACAACAAAGGCATTATGTTCGAACAAGGCATTTTGGCCTTTTGAAACTTAATGTCAGACTCAGCTACCTCAAAATTGATAAGACAAGTCAGCCAAAATCTTAAAAGCATTGTTTAGAAAGTTTTTGTAAACATTTCATCCCAATCCAACTCAACCCAACAAAAGCATCGCCTTTTATCAACAATTCATAGCCCGCCCCGCCGCCAGAAGAAACACCGCATACATGATTTGAGCTAGATAAGCACCGATTTGGTGCTAAATCAAAACCACTGGTCCACCCCATTCAATTTACTCAGATATCAGGGACACCAGCATCAATAATAATACATTAGATTATAATAGGATGGGGAAGAGGCATTCTGCCTCCTGCCCTAACACCATGCCAAGTGACACACGAACTTGAACATAGTGCATACAACTGAGAGAGTGAACTCAACAAGAGAATGTTGGAATATGGAACAATAAAGGAACCCAGAAAGAACAGTGTGACAGATGTTTTGGAAAAATTAAACGTAAATTCAACTGAGTATTTAAGTTTGCCAAGGAACTACTGACCATGGGATGATAACCAACCATGATAGCAGATAGTATATAGTTAACACGAATGGAAAATGCAAAAAGAAATGCAAGGAAAACTTTAGGTTCATCAAAAAGTTTAAATACATCGAAATTGATTATTAACTTGCCAGATTTTGTAAGAAAAAAAATTAGGACAATCAAAACTTTATCTGAGTAGGAAGAAAGACATTATGGATTTGACTTACCTGATTCGCCCACTCATCGCGACCAGTCCTATTTAGATAATTTTGCACCACCCTCACCCCATTGAAATCTGTTGTATAGACACCCACAAAATAAATAAATAAGGCAGAGATGACGTGGATTCATCTATTAGAACTGCACATTTCCAAATTCGTTATGCAGATTTTCCACTAGATTAGATGTCATTTGCCCCATATGTTTCAACAACTCAAACTGTTGGTTAGGATTCAAACCTTAGTTCAGGATTCAAATTGGTGTTTGGGAGAGGAAAATTGAAGTACAATTCAAACCATTAACAATGGTTCAAACCCTTGATTTTTAGAATTCATCCCCCCACTAAATTCTAACAATCTGATTGTTGTCAACAGTTCAACAGTTCCATATTCTATTTTTTCTCTCTCTTCAATTTCAATCTTAAAAATGTCATAATTTCTTCGTTTGAATTCCGATTGAGATGTTTTTTTTTTTTTCAATGTAATGAAGAGAGGAACAAATCCCCACCCATATTGCATATTTTTTAATGTCATTTACAATGAGGTTTTATAAGATTTGTTACAAAACTCTAATGACAATTCAACACTTTATCCAAACACAGTTCAGATTTTATTCCTAATTCAAATTTCAATTTATTTGCATATCCAAACACCGGTTCAAATCACAATTAAAATCACCACAGTTCAGATTCTACAATTCTAACTAAAAAGGTTTAAATCTTCACAGTTTGAGTTGTTGAACCAAACAAGCCGATTGTTTTCATATCTTTCAATTTAAGACTAACTTATGTTGCACATGCAATAACATTTATGATTTCCTTGCCCGCAACAGATATTCTTAGAAATTAGAATAGAGTGTTGTCAACACACTAGATGCTTTCATTAATATTGGAATCTAAAAATATATGGTTGTCAAAGCAGGGTCAAAGAAATAGAAATCATATATATGAACTTCCAACGTATCTAACAGCCAATATCAAGCTAACTAACCACAATTATAAGAAGAAAAAGACATAAACAACGAACAATGATAAATTTAACATGCGCAAAAAAATAATAAAGGGTGAAATAAGAAAGAAGCTGACGAAAACGTTACTGGTTTTTGAAATAAGGTAGTCTTAAAGAAAAAATAAAGATTAAGGTCTGAACGTGTAGAGTAAAATTACAGGCAGAGATAGAAATCATAAACATCAAGGTAAATGTCATTGCAATTTGCAACTAGTCTATTATCGATGAAACAACCAATTATACTAACAGTGATTAATTTTCTTGTATCTCAATTATGTTCCAAACCTACAGCTACTGGAAACAAATAGATGTATCAGAATATAAATACTACTCGAGATTTAAATCCAAAGAAAAATCATAAAGGAATAATATAGAATGACAATCACCTATTTCAGCCTTAAATCTAAAGAACCCAGGTCCGATCACCTCACTTTTGCAATCATATACAGCATCTACAACCTAGACCCAGAAAAAAAAAATAATTTCAAGTCTCATAGTTAGAAAACATAAATACAAATCAAGTGACTTGAGTACAATCCCATACACTGGCATACCGGATCATTTTTTAAGAAATGAAGAACCTTCTGTGTATCATTGTCATCCATTGCTCTACCAATTAAAGCATGCCGATTCCTCTGGATCAGAAATATAGCGACCTGCATAATAGATTAGGTTCAGCCACAGAATATGAAACTATGCAAGTAAACCAGTTTCAATATGTTATCCAACTTTCTTCTAAGAAGTTCATTCTTCTAAAGTGTAAAAAGCTAAAACGATCAATGGCTGAAATTTAGTGTGTTTAAATCAAGGGCCGAAACTAATTGGGTATTTTTGTCAATTCATTCTTAAAGTTAACAGGGTTAAAGTGAAGGGGCATTGACGTAATTAGAATTGGTCAAGGGAGTGTCCCTATTATTGTGGCAAAACATAGGGGTGTCATGTAAAAAGCCCTTCTTTCAACAGTTCTATTCTAAAATTGTGGCCTTTCGGTAGATTTGAGTAAGGCAGCGAAACAATGATACTGATATTTTTCCAACTTTTCATCATGTCATCAGCATATTTGAAATAGTAATAATGAAAAAGGATTCAAGAGTCACACACAACGTTTTCATCAAAACTAGCTTGAAAAAAAAGAGCATAAATGAAAAGAAAGTGAAAATATGAAAAATATGCGGTTACATCTATTTAACATATGAGATTACGAAAGCAAAAAACATTAGATACCATTCCAAGGAGGTTTCCAACAATGATTGAACCTATGGGGTCATAAATTGCATTCCCTGTGGTATTCACTGCAACCAATGATGCTGCAGCAATAGCAAGACCGGTAACAGCAGCTCCATCCTGCATGTTTTTTATCGTTCATATAAGGAAACTAGAATGCTTCCGCAAGATCAGTACACAAAAGAACAAATCAATTAAGAAACCAATATGTAAGTTCATTTCAAATAATAACAAGGAGGGATACCACAATCATAGAGAGATAAAAGCAAATAAATAAGAGGGATACTAAAATCGTTCATTAGAGATATTTGTTGAGCAAAGCAGCCAAAGCACCAAACCAACGAACTGACACACACACAGAGGGAAAGGGGGAAACAAGAAAAATACGAAACAAGAAACAAGAAAAGCCCAAATTATTACAAAGTCAGAAGTTAAATCCAAAATTTAAAGGGAAGGGAAGGAGTATCCACAGTTTCCTTAGTGATTAAAGTGCATAGAGAAGGCAAATCACTTGCATCACCACCCAGGGAATGTCTTGTAAACTAGCTAAGTCCCGTTTATAGCAATCAAGTTTTCTCTCCAGTTTTATTCCTCAGTATTGAAATTTCTATAATTTCATTCACTAGTAATGGAAATTTCTTTTCGTTTTTCCTTTTGCTCATTAAATTTTCTCTTTTCCTTCCTTTCTTTCCTTTTCCCCCATTAGAAACAGAAACTAGACGGTTCTCTATCCAGTTTTCATCTTTTTTCTAGCTAATCTTCCATTTACATGTATACCGAGAAGAAGTTAAAACTTCTCCTAGAAACAAAGTGAAAAAGATTATGAAAATTACCTCTGTCATGACAGCAACAGAAGTGGGATCATGACCTCGCCAAACATAGTCTCTTATTTTCATTCCCTCAGCAGCTGCACCTTTCTTGACAGCTTGTATGGCAACAATAAGAGAAGCACCTAAGCAATGGAATGAATACATAATTAGAAGTGGAAAACTAAAAAGATCTAGAAGAAAAATGCTTAAAGATGGGAATGGGACAAATTAAACCTTCAATAATAAAGGAACCACCAATCACAAGAGCTGCATACTGAATATTTTCAGGGGGCTGTGAAAGACACGTGAATGGATTCAATAGAAATATTGTGGCTACAAACATAATTGATGCGAGAAAATAATATATAAACATAGAAAAATAAAAAATAAAAAAGAGAGAATCTAGGATTATGTAGAGAAAATTTACAGGTAAAGTTATGTCAACATGTTACCTGTGAAGTCCACAAGTTCTGAAATCCATGAACAATGGTAGCCCCGGAGCCAAGACAAAATATGCCCACAGCAGATATCAAAGACCAAACAAATCTTTCCTTGGAATAGCCATAACTGTCAAATTTTTAAAAGATATTATTAAAGCAGATCACTTGACGAGAGAAGAAAATAGAGAAAAGTTGTATAATTAAAACCCTAACACGAATGTCTGCTTAAATGTGTTTGCATACCTAGCTTGAGCAATCAGTAGAACTCAAGCAAGCAGTTTATTTTACAATTACTTACAAGCTAAAAATATTTAAAAGGATGCTTTACCAATTCCTTTGGGCACGCTTCAAAAATTCATTTCTTTTCAATGTTCTCTATAAGTATTGAATTCAAATAAAAATCCAAACAGGTATAAACATTTTAATACAAGATAACAACAGATATCACTAATACATAAAAAAGGGGTCCAAGTCATGGTATGAATGACTCACGGATGGAGAGCATCTGGTGCACGCCTTGAGCTACTCAGCCCGTACGCAAGAAGCGCCTACAATGTAAACCCATATTAATTGCTTTTTTTAATAAGAACATTCAATTGCAAAACAACCAAAAAAAAAAAAAAAGTAAACGCATTTAGCATGGTCATCACACAACCACAAAAAGAGAAATACCTGATTTGCAAAATCTGCGACTGAGTGAATGACTTCAGCCAATATGACATGGCTTGAGGTCGCTAACCATACCCCAAACTTGAGAGAAAAAACAAGGAAGTTGCACCATAGCGCGGTCGTGACTGCCCGCTGACTAGCATCAGCATTTGATGCAAGGCATGAAAAGATTAAATGGAAAACTTTAAGACTAAATCAATTATCAATCCAAGTACTACACATACTTCAACACAACAAACATCATAGAGAAATGCTAGTGTCACTCTTTTTCTCGCTCTCTTTGTCACTTTCTTACTTCAACACAACAAACATTATAGAGAAATGCTAGCGTCACTCTTATTCTCACTCTCTTTGTCACTATCTGCACACCCCGTGGCCTGTTAACCAAAGTCTAAGCACATGTATAGCAAAATAACCATCAGGAACAAAATCTGGGTTCTCAAATGCACAAATTTTCACAACTCCATGTAATTGCTCCTAACAAATTATCACAATTGTAAACTAAATTACTTTTGAGTGGGTTTAAATGCATCGGTAATAGGTCATACAGAATTCAGAACCTAACATAGCGATAAAACAAAAAAATTCAGGTTCCGTATTTATCGAATTTGTCGTACCTGTGATGATCACTGAATTCAATCTTCTTCACGTGCTTAGCTCTGGTGAAAAAATCTGCAAACCAAATTACTCCTCATTATTTAAAAAATAAAATACATAAACATTATACGTATAAGTGTATAAAACGATACGAAAGATAACTGACTGCGATGGAAGGAGAGCTGAAGATGGTGGTGGCGGCGGCGATCGGCATTGGGCGAAAGCAGGCCGAGCAAGACGAAGCGTCTGGAACAATCGGCAGCTGCAAAGACGTGTGAAGAAGAAGAAGATGATGATGATGATGATGAAAACGACGCGGCGTTTCGATGGAAGAGTAGGAATCGCGTGGGATTGGGAGAGGAAGAGTGGTGGTTGTTGCCGAAGAGGCGAGAGAGGAAGCAAATGCAAGGCTTTGCTTTCCTCGGCACAGGCATTCTCTTCCTTTTCTTTCCCTCTTTCTTTCTTTGTTTAAATGCTATTCCATTTCCGTTTTGTCTTTTTTTTTTTTTTTTTTTTAATTATTATTCTTCTGCGTTTGGACTTTTGGTTGTGGAAAGAGAAAAGGGAAATTTTCTTCCTCTTCCTCTTGTTATTCGGTCTCTGGGCATCTGCCTCTTGGCTCTTGCCTCTCTCTCTCTCTGCAAGCACTGCACGTGGGCCGCCATTCAAATAAAAGGGGCCCACTTCTGTTGCGAGCCCGTTTAAGGTAAATTCGAATATATATATTATATATATTTACTGTAAATAATAACTTTGTTTTCAGAATCACTAACCATTATTAATTTAAACCATCGAGAACAATAACAGTTTTTACGGTTAAAAGATATTCTTCCAACTAAGAAGACGTTTGGTTTATGGATTAGAATCATAAGATTAGAATTATTTTTTATTTACGTGTATTTTTTATTAGAGAAAACACTATAGCGAATCATAAATCATGATTCAAATCGGGGTACGAATCCCTCAACCAAACAACTCTTAAATCAACTCATCATCTATATTAGGGCCCGTTTGGTTTGGGGATCCAACACAAAAGATTAGAATCATGTGCTGAAAACATGTTTGGTGTCGTATGGATTGGAGTCATGGACTTGAGTTAAAGTTCATTTTTTGGGTCCTGATTTTGAATCAGGACCCCCTGATTCAACCCAAGACTTCAGTCTTTGTACAGTAATTTCATTGTGCTTAAAGCAGTTAATCCTTGTGGTTTTTTCCGCATCTCAACACTGTCATTTGCAGAGTGACTTTTTAACAAAGGTGTACATGGATTTAGAATTGTAGATAATGTTGTTATTTTCTTTTTTTTATCAGTTTGGTTAGCAATATAATATTTCTCACATTTTTGATATATGCTTGGCTTGTTATATAATTTCATTCACATTTTTTTCATTTATTTCTCACTTAGTTTGTTATAATTTTGAGTTAAATTATTTGCATAAATTTTTTTCTAGTACTTCATTTTTTTAATTATATAACGAATTATATTTTTTTAAAATTACACATAACGAATTATATTTATTACATAATTTTTTAAATTACAATATTTTGGCCATGATTTAAATTCAGAAAATAAGACAACCAAACACTGATTTGAATCATATTTCAGATTAGAATCAAAATCATGCATATACACATTCAAACGAATGTTCTAATCACTCTGAATCATAATTCAAATCATGAATCATGATTCTAAATTAAAAGACTCAAATCACCCTGATTTTAATTCTTATACCAAACGGACTCTTTAATGAAGTAAAAAACAAGTCGCATTATTTGCCTCTTAAAAAATGGCCTATTATTACTCCTAAAATAAGATAATAAGTTAAATACACTTGATAATAAAACACCAAACACATTACAAGTAAAATTATTAATCTTTAAAGCTTAAACCATTATCAATCCATTCAAGCTCCACTTCATAGAGATTTAGGCCTTGTTCGGCAACCTCAAAAACTCAAAAAAAGACAACTTGAGTTCCAACTTTATTTAAGTTTATGTTCTTTTAAGTTTGAACTCAAGTTTGAACTCGAGTTTGAGACTAAAACTCGAGTTCAAGTTTCCCCTTCAACTCGAGTTCATAAACTCGAACTAAAATTAATGAACAATATTTTTTCTATTCTTAAAAATGCTATAACTTTTTCATTTTAATCCTGATTAAGATGATTTTTTTTCTATGCATTGACAACGAAAAGATGAATAAAACTTCACACATATACCCTATTAAATTTTTCATCACCATTGAGTTTTTATTAAAATACTATATAAATACAAATTCAAATTTTGACTCGCTCAAACACAAACTCAAAAAGATTCTTATCTCAAACCATAACTTAAATGTACACAACCAAACACAAACTCAAGTTACAACTTCAACTCAAGTTATAACTCAAATTCAACTCAAAAACTACACTCAAGTCACACTCCAAAAGAACAGGCCCTTAGCTTCAGCCTCACGAAATAACTGGACTTAAGGTGTGTTTGGAGTAAAGATCTGTGCCATGGTTCAGATCATAGTTTGTGATTCATTATAGTATTTTCTCTCACAAAAAACACACGTAAATTGAAAATTGTTCTAAATCATAGTTTTAAATCTATGAACCAAACGTCCTCTTAGACTCTCAATTTAAGTGATGTCATGATTTAACAATACTACAAATGTGTCCATTCACGATTCATTAGGATTAATTGTTCCCTTAATAATAGCTTGGATTATTTAATAAAGCCAGTCTACCCCCTCCTTTTTTTTTCATCAGTGGGTATTTCCTCTTTTAAAAGAGAAAACGCGCACAATGATTTGTTGAATGAAGTGTATAAATTACGGATTCATAATATTTGTAGATAAATGAATTTAATAACAAAGTAATCAATTAGACATTACTATTATATATATATATATATATGAAACATTCTATTTTTGATACATTTTAATAATCAATCATACAATAGAATGGAGATTAAGTGCCATCATTGTTGGGATTTATCAGTCACAAGTTTCTCCTCTCTTTCTCTTGCTGATAAAAAAAAAAAATGAAAATTAATGGGTAAATCACAAGTTTCTCCTCTCTTTCTCTTGCTGACAAAAAATCAAATTGGAAATTAATGGATAAATCACAGTGCACTTGTATATGTTGAAAAAGACAGTTAATAGGTCAATGATAAAGTGATTATGCAACATTTTAAGGCACGACTTGTCGGGAATAATTGTTCTATTTAATGATTATCTATTATGTTTAAACATTTGTTGTAGTTATACAGCCAAATGAGTGGGGGCACAAGCATTAAAAAAAAAAAAAAACTTTAGCCACGATGTTCTTATGAAATTTCAATCAAGCCTTTACTATATAATAAAAATTATAAATGTGCCCTTACTGAATAATTACAATATATACTATATTTATATTTCTTAAAAAATTATAGCTGCTTCATAGTAGCTCCACAGAAAATTTTTTGACTCCGCCACTAATTAGTTCAATTGACCAAAATTCCTGCCTTCGTTGCTAATGAAAACGGTATGAAAACGGTCCGAGATCTAACAAATCTAGTAGTTCGGAATCGAATTGGACCGTGCATACAGCATACCCCTATTGCTGGTGCAAGGAATTTGCCATATTTGATCTCTCAAGTCAACATGAGGAAATGACAATTCGCCGTGCTTCTCTGCAAGCCTGCCGGTAAACTCCAATGCACCAATCATGGGTGAGTATCAAGGGGACGAGAACAAGAATGTAAATTTTTTTTTTATTTTTTATTTTGTTTTGTTTTGTTATGTTTTTATTTTGTCTTCCACAAATGTTATTCAGGAAAGGAGTCCCGAGTCCGCCCCGAAAGTATGAACATGATACAACCTCTGCGTACCCTTCTAGACCAATCAACTAAAAGTAATGACTACCTTTAGCATGTCACGCACAGCCAGGCCCTACCTCTAAACTCCACCACAATGGACAGGCAACAAGATTACGGTCTTTTTTATTATTATTGCTTTTTGTTTCTACGAATGGAGCGGATTGAGCGGATTCTCACGCAAAACCACTGCATTCACTATTTAACATGTGAACTCCACTAACGTAATATATTATCATTTAAACAGAAAATGTGATAGTAGAATCCACACGTTAAATAATAATGCATAAAGTGACGCTAGCGATTCTCAACTATTATATAGCAAAGTTGACATTTTCAATCCACTATACTTTTACCGTTTAATCATCTCACAGATGAGTTTCACACCATTGCAAGAAACTACTCAAGTTCTCAATCAAAATCCAAAAATTGGAGAGTGGGAATTAAGTGTTTCGACCAAAATGACAAATGGACCATCCATCCCAAAGGGGAAAAATAAAATTCCTCTTTCTAAGGGAGGTAATAACTGTAGAATAACCTATTAACTACGTTACATATCCATCAGCGTAAAAGAGGGGCAGCCAAGCTTTACTATAAGAATACAAACTTTCCAGCAGGGGAAAATTGTTGAGCCCCATTATTTCTTAAAAGAAGAGCTCAACATCAAGAGCTAATATACTGAATCATTTTTGTTCCTCGTCTACTTAATGCCTGAAATCGAAGGGATTCACCAAAAACAATAAGGACCAAAAACGAATGGCTACTAATCTCGCGACCGACCTTCCTTCCTGCCACGTAACTTAAGATTTGGTTTTTGTTTCTCACCTGTGTTCTCGAAATCTACTCCATCATGCCGGGGGACGATCCTTATGGGGTGGGCTTCTGTGTTGAAAACCCATTCATCTAATGATATGAGTGAAGGAGGTGAAAAAAGAAGATAAAGGTACTTGAGGGTCTCAGCAAGAAAGAAGCTCTGCATCATATTGTCCTTCACACCACTATTGACCTGATAACAACCAATAGCTAGAAGTTAATGAAAAGTCGGGGAGCAATATAGAATTGGAAAAAGGATAAAGAAGTTCCAGCCTAACAATCAGTAATTTTGTTCCAAACTACAAGAAAAAAAAAAAGGCATTTTAAGCTCTACTCAAGTTTCAGACGAAGCATTGCTCCATCAGAGTGACTAATTCGTCAAATGATATGCATCAAGAGTTCCCAAAACTCTATTACTACTGTATTGATTTCCCCGTCTTTGTCATGACTTATCGCATTATGATATAAAGGAACGCTCTCAAGTTTATAATACCTTAAAGCAGCATGAGAAATGACAAAAAAGGTTTCATGACCATGCAGACAAGCTGTTTTTCAAGTAACTATGCAGACAACACAGAAATGTATGGGACAAACAACACCGTATCACTGTTTACGTTCTTTTTTCCCAAATCCCAATTATACAGAATAATCAGCTAAACTATGACCAAATGGTGACAACTCCTGAAATAATGACTTTTAGAAATATAATAAGCAGATAATATAGATAAGTTTTAGAAATAGAAGTTTCTTTTATGGTTTATTTATAGGTTAAAGAAAAATGTTTACCGGTTATGTAACACTAATGTTCCAACTAAATCTTCGCGGTACAAGGTTAATCTGAAGAAATGCATGGGAAAAATTGAAAAGTATTGAGTATTTAGTTGTGGGATTGAAGAGTGCATACGTCTTTCAGTCCGACATATCCCGACTCTATGCGGGAGTTCTTTTCAAATGCTTGAAATATATTCCAACCCCACTCTTGGTATGTCTTGTTTCCAGTTAGGCGCCATAGGTAAAAGAGTGATTCAAGCGTCTCTGGTCTCAGTATGTTCCATGATGTACCCACACTCATATCCTGATAATTTTGGAATATACATGAGAACAGTAGAAGTAAATTTCACATAAAGATAAATGCAGTACATGGAATATTTAATTTGGCAAGGAAAGACAAATAAGGATAACTAACCTGCCCAGGATGAAAGAAATAATTTTCTCCAGCCAATTTTGTTGGCGTCGACTGGTAGAAATTGTAGCACGTCCAAGCAAGCTGTCAAAGAAAAACTTATTTAATTGAATCAACCCACTAAAAAGGTAAATAAGTTAGGCATATTCACATAAGTTAAAATTGGTTTCAATAAAATATCTTTCTGTTAATTATTAAATAAGGCAAAAAAAAAAAAAAAGGTTCAAAAAGAGACTACAAACAATCAAAACAAGTTCGTATGCATGTAAGTTTTTCCAGGCTTTTTTTCTTTTTTTTCCTTTTCAGTAATGGATAATACCTCTTCAGCAAGTGATAAAAACTTTTGGGATTCATTAGGACCATAACCAGATGATCCTAAAGCAATCATTCCAGGAGCAAAGCATGCTAACTCATCCATCTGCAAGTAATTAGGCAAAGGAAAAGGAACATAAACAATGTGTTTGGTGAATAATGTGACATTACTGCTATTGTCAATAAAATTCACCTTATCTGTCAAAGAATCCCCGTTCTTCTCACAAATATATGTAAAGGATGATGGTGTTGTTCTCCGGATTAAGCTCTGCAAACCTTTCATTGATTTCTCCCACATTTCCCTGTTTCCAAGAATTCCAAAAGCAAAATTAATATCAAGAGTAACTCCATAAATGAAAAGGGAAAATAACTAATAAAGGACAACATGAAATGTATTTCAATGATATTTAAATTGATAAAACAAAATGAAAAAAAAAAAAGTACAGAAAATGTTGAATATATGATTACAAGAAGATATGGCATTGACTTGCAGAATAAAAATTAAAAATAAATACTAAGAGGCAAATCCTTCAAAGATCTTTCTGAACCACCAAAATCTATATTATAGTAAACCAGTAAGATTGTTACTGAAAAAAAATAAAAAAAAATAAAACATGTACAAAGATGATATGGAGAAAATTGATGGAAATTGACCAATGGAGAGAAACTAAATGGACTACTTTGCGAAGGAAAAACCTTTGACTTAAGAAGTTTGAAGTAGGAAGGGATTTAAGTTGATAAAATATTATGTTTTCTCAATGACGGCTCCTTTATAGTTTTCTTCCACTTATGTTTACTTTTGTTGGCTTGCTTTTCATATTTATTTTTAGGTCTTTAATGGTTTAGGTTAAGGACTTTTTCTTTCATTTTTTTAACAAACTTCTCACTTAGAAAAAGGTAAGAAATGCATGAAAATCTAAGCAAAAGTGATCAACTTCTTTTCTGCTGCCATCGTAAGATTAAGCTCCAGTATAAAATCGTTTTTTTAACAAATCACAAAGATACTTACCTATAACGCCTTACAGCTGAAGTTTTATTCCCTTGTATCCAAACTTTGAGCAAGTATTCATAAAAGCTGCAATTAATATTTTATTGTAAACAAAAACCAGAGTAGCACATGGAGTTAAGCACTTTCAGATTCTGAGAAATCATAAGATAATGATATCTAGTAATCAAACAACTAAGAAAAAGGAATTCATACGAAACTAGAGTAATACCTGTCTCCCATGGCACCAAAGGTTATGGGGGAGTACGACGTTGAACCTCTGTGGGGGTCAATGTAGATAGGAAGCAAACCATCCTCAGGGAATATGTTATTGAGTTGTGTTATAACATTCTCAACCTGGAAAAGCAACGAGCAATTGATTCAATTCACTATTATGCGATGAGAAATACCACTGGCCTTTGCCCCCTAAACTGCAGTGCTTAGTCATACAAGCCTGGTTCTTTATGGAGACAGAGGATGATAATCATGACCACATGCCGAGACTACATCAGAGCACTAGTTCACTAAATGTACCATTGATTCAGTAATAGAAGATACATGCGCATCAAACCATGACGGGAAACCAAAAAGGGTACAGAGGAGAAAGAAGGGTGAAAAGGAAGCATTTGGTTGCGTGATAGATAGACCTTTTGTTGGTACTTTGGGTCTCCGGTCCTTTGAGAAAGAGCAATGAATTCCAGCTGCTCCGTGGCTGAATCTGCCAAGATACTTTCACCCTAGAAGCAAATGATTATTAAATCCAGGTTAATTAAATTTTGTCAGTGTAAATTACACCTCAAAGAAAATTTGAGAATAAACACAAAACAGATACTTGCGTGCACAAAAACAGGAACTTGAACTCATAATGTGGACTAAATACGATATTTACAGTAATAAAGTCTCCCAAATGAAATTCTGAGCATAATCAGATTTAAATTCCCAGTTGCTAAAATTTTCAGGCTTTAACAGCTAACAATATGATGCTTAAAATATATAGAGGATGCAGTAGACTTAAAAACTGCAAGGATAAGCTCACTCTGATATATGTTATTTCCATAGGCCAAAACCTAGTGCCTACCAGGTGACCTTAGTGATGTAGGTTCAGATTAAGACACTATTATATGAAACAATTTCTCGTTCAAGGTCAGCACACCCCTTCAACAAAAACAGAATTCTCCATTATATATATTACAAGAAGACTTCTTTTCATCAATAATAAAATAAAATACAAAGTATAGAGGATAAGAAATCCTCAATAAACATACAAAGAAGAGCAAAACAAAGGAAAATACAAAAACCAACAAAACATAGCATGACTCTTGACATCCTATAACATCTTTACAATTAAGAACAATCATATAAAAAGGAAAGTCCATTATAAGCAGCTGGAGATATTCAGATGTATATTTACGGAGGCTTAATTACTTACCCCAGTCCACCCAGGATTGTGTGGCCTTCCTTGTGCCAAGTTAATAACATTGTAAGGGATTCCAGTAGGTGTATCCCAGGCTGGCAGCAATCTGTCTGCAATATCTCTAGCCTTATCAAGGAAAACCTTATCCTGTGAGAGATCATATGCACTGAGAAGTCCACCTACAACTCTGGATCTCAGTAAAAACACAGGCCAAAAAAATAGTAAGAAAAAGCGTCTAAAGGTCTCACTACAATATCTCGAAAAACCACATAAAAAATAGTCAATAATAACTTCTTCAATGCGAAGAAAACAATTAAACTCAAACTACATTTTAAACCTTATAATGCAACCTTATGGTTGTCTCAAAGACACTAGCCTCGTAATTCTTGTTAAAGTCCAATGAATTTGCAATCCACCTGCCAAGAATATCACACTACTTATGAACAAAAAACCAGACCATAAATGATAAAAACAAGAATAGAATAACTAAAATAAATAATAAATAATAAATAATCACGGAAGCAAGCATGAACATGGAAGTCGAAATTTCTCCTTGGATTACTGTGGAATCAAAAGACATCGTCTTCAAAGTACATAATAATCTTTTTTTGTGCTATACATCTAATACAAGGCATCTGTACTGATAACACCGCGTGCAAAGATAGTAAGTGTTAACTCACTCTCTTGCTTTCTGGAATTGTTCATCAAGACCCATGATATATAATGTATCAAGAGAGTCTATTAGTGTTGCTCCAAGGCCACCAAAGCTATTGACACCACTCTTAGACTGTGGCTGGTAAGGGAGCAAATATTGGCATTAGTTCTGGAACTCTATAATGAAATATGTAAAACTACAACATTTGACACAAGAACAAAAGAAAAAGTCTCAAAAGAAACATCCTTTCACAGATTAGAACCATATAAAAAGATATTTAACTTGTTTATCTTCTTGAAAAGTAAAGATATTTAACTTGTAAATCTTCAATTATATCACTCTTTAACCAGAGAACTTTTATGCTTTCAACGGCTCTGTTTTCTACAAAGTGCAAAGGACAGTGGATGTGCGGGCACTTGGTTAACAAATTTCTAGTCGAAGGGCTTTGTTTTCTGCAAGAAAATTAACTTATCTTGTACAAATACTTTTATGCTTTCCAAATTGTTGAGCTTTGGCTATAAGAACCTTATTCTTTGCTAAGATTCTTTATGAGCTTGGGATTCAGCAGCAAAACCAAGTTTTGCAGGATTTATTTTAATTATATTATATTATATTATGTTTTTTATTTTTTACTTTTTTTTTCTGATGGCTGCAGCCCCTGTTTCTCTACTTCATACCATTTATCGTCGCTAAAAGGGGAGCGTAACCCATCATGGCACATCACCTTTTATAGTTCAAACGCCAAATATGAAGTCTAGAAAATCTAGCATTTAGATTCTGACATTCTTCCAACTTAAAGTTTCAAGTTGTCTCTCTCAACCCCATGAGCTCTGAACATTTCATTCTGTCCACCACAACATGAACCTTTTCCAAGATATTATTTTAAACCCGAAAAAATATTCAAAGACATTTAATTGTTGTTGTTGTTGTGTGTGTGTGTGTGTGTCGATTTGAGAACACGTAATTGAAAAGAAATTAACAATGCAAAAGTTACTCAAGGTAGCGGGTAAATTAAATTAGAACTCTCCTGATATTTAATTATTACAATCATGGTCTTTTTAATTATATTGAAACTATTTTTTAATTTTTTTTTCAAAAAAATGTCTCCATTGATCACCGGTTGGAGTTTTTCATCTTTATTAATTATTACCGCCTAGGATAGTTCCCGGAAAAGAATTCCTTTGCTCCTGTTTGTTTCTTCCAATGTACACTACATATGAGTAGGGGTACAAGTATATATAGCATGCTGAAAAGAAATATTCATGTACTAATTCAAGACAAGGTACCAAAAAAGGAACAGATTTCATCATTCACTTGTCTCTTTATTTCATTCAGATTTATTAAAAGATACTTGGTACCTGAAGTTCATCTTGGCCCCATGCATACTTCTCATATGAATTCCATGCATGTAGCATAGCTTCTTTTACTTTTTCTCTTCGCTGAATAGCAATTGGATCAGCTGGCACATCATTCTGTGTCTTTTTGACCACCTTGCCTTCAACATTCTTTAACTCTTCCAACTGAAGGTACAACTATATATTTTAGGAGACATACGCAGTCCAGAAAATTTATATTAAGAGATAACTGGCAGACATTCACTCTAAGACAAAAAAGTTGACCACTTTTAAGCCGGAAGAGATGTGTGGAAAGAAGGTCCATTTTACCAAAAAAGTATATTCCATAACTCCCCCTTTTATCAATTTTAAAATGGCACCCCCTGACTGAACAACATTATATTAACACCCCCTTGACTGATAACATATTTTATTCTGATAATGCCCAGGGTTAAAAAAAGAGTTTTGGTCACAAAAATATGCGTTAAATAATAATTTTACCCTCAAAACATTATACAATGAACATATTCTTGGGCAAATTCGGCTTTTATCAATTTTTTTAACGTACAATATTTTCTTTAACAGCAATTGTTCAAGCTTTTTGCTTGTTAAAAAAACTTTTCTCAAGCCATTTTCCATTTTGTCCACGATTTGCATTGAGCTTTGTTTTTCCTCTTTCAGGATTTTGTATTATGTCAACTGTTTTTTAAACCATCTTCAGATAGTATTTGTTATCCAAACCAACTGTAAAGAAGCCAACTAAAGGCTGTCTATATATAGTAGTGTAACTTAACATAGAACAGGTTGGCAAGAATATAAAATAACTTACCGAATTGTGCAAGTCGGCCAATTCCCCCTTTAACTTAGAAATTTCCATCTGCATGTAAGAACGAATTTCATTGAATAAAGGCAAGACACAGTGATTCTCCACTAAGGTATGACATATAATCTGATTCCAGCAGCAAAGTTACATTAGAAATTAAAATCACAAAGATTATTCAGCAAATAATGAGTTATAATAATGGTATCCACATGCATTCTGCAACATTCTAACACATTACTGACTTTTTTTTTTCTATAAGAAACAAATGAAAATTTTATTAAAAAAACATACGCAGAACAAAAAAGTACAGAAAGCAACAAGATGGACAAGAGATCCATCCAAAAGGCAAAAAGAAAACCAGAAGAAAAAATTAAAAACAAGATTTACATAACAACAACACCGCCCCTCTCAACTCATAATGTCCTCCCACCCTAATATTATCAGAGACAATGTAAAATCCTTAAAAGGAAACATCTGTTGCAACCCACAGAGAAGCAAAAAAATTTTGCCTTGTCAAATAAGTCTTCAACAGCCATCTCCTTCTCTTAAAAAATTCAATGATTTCTCTCATTCCAAATTACCCAAAGAACCACTAAAAGCATTGCTCTCCACATGGTTTGAGCCTTCTTCCCTCTTCAGAAACCCAAAAAATCCTCCACCAGAATTTATGCATATATGAGTTGTCACACTTTATTGTGATACTTGAACTTTACCAGGTTTATGGCGAGTTTTGAGCATCTATTAGTTTCTAAATTATGGAATTAAACATTTTTATTGTTATGCCCTTCTCACCTACAAGAGGATTAACATGATCAATACGTCTCTAATAATTATCACAACACAGAATTGATGACCAATTATACCAACATCCTTTTCAAAAGTTGAATTACCTCATTTGACCTCAAATTTTAAGGTGCCGATTCCTTCTACTACAAAAACTTTAGTTAGCGCTCCTAGTGCCAAACTAAACATCCAACTTGTCGTGACATTTTTCTTTAACATCTATAATAATCATGTCCTCCCTCGCCCATGCGCTCATATTTTTCCAACGCCCCTTCACTCAACTTCACTTTTCTCCAACTTGAGTCAATTTTGTTGTGTTTTTTTTCTTTTAGCTAGTAAACCTCACGTGGAAATCACCAAATTATATGCTGATTTCATAAGAGGAAAGTACAGTTTGTGCCTATAAAACTAACATGTAACTAGCGTGAATCTCTTTGCTTCAGAATCTCAAAAACACAACCATAGAGGTACCACATCTTGTTTAAATGCAAATCCAAAAATGAAATGCAATAACATACCGTGAAATTGAAATGATTTATCTTAAGATTCATGTGTAATTTAGTTTGCTACAATACTAAGCAAGACCAATCGTGTCGTCTTTTCAATCAAAGAGTTCATTTAAGGGTCGGGAAAAAAAGGGAAACAAAAAATTAATAAGCTTTCACGGTCTACAATCTACATCTTAATCTTCCAAGATTTGAGGAGGGAAAAAAACAAAGTATTGACTTCCATGGAACAATTTTGCAATTTGCTTTTTCTGATTTCCGAACACTTCCGACACTAAGCCCATTTGAAAAAAATATGTTTCTTCTAGAAATTATGTTTGCTTTTTCAATCTCACCTCCCACGAGAAATTGATGTCTGTCAAATAATAATCTTTATAAACCTCCGCAAGAAAATCTAATATAACAGAAACGTACTTGTAAAAATCATTTACAAAAGATCGCCTACAACAGGATCGATAAATAAAAAGAACCAGATCCCAGGGGATGTAGAGTTTCAGATCCAAAATTCAAACTTTCACCCATTTTTTCTCCTCAAACTTTCTTAGCAACCAAACAGAGCATAAACTAACCGAAAAATTAAAAACTCGGGGAAAGGAAAATTCGAAAGGGTACCTCATGTTCCCTGACAAGAGTCTGACGATCCCAAAAGACAAAACTGATGCATACGAAAGCAATGAAAAGCAAGGCCAAGCGCTTGGGCCTCTTCAGGTAATACGATGGGTTACAGTACCTGAATCTGCTGGAGGATGATCTGGTTCTCGCCATTAGAGATCTCGCGAACACGATCAACAAACAGCGATTCAGACCCAAAGCAAGGAAAAACGAAACGAAGAAGAAAATTCTTTGCTTTTTGGGTCAGAAACGCAGAGAAAGAAAGAGAAAAGCGAGAGAGAGAGAGAGATGAGGCTGAATTCTGAAATAGAAGAAACGTTTCGAGTTGTAAGAATCAATAATTTTTCTTTTTTTCTTATTTTTTTTTTCTTTTTCTTCTCTCTCTCTCCCCTACTGTTAGGCTAGAGGTGGGATCTCCCCTGCCGCTCCGTAAGGTGTACGGAGAGTGGACCAGGAGAATTGGAGAAGAAACGACCCAAGTGGTTTGGTAAGTTGGAAAAATGGAGTAAGGATTCACATTATTTTTTTATTTTTATTTTTATTTTTTTTACGTAGTGCATTCTAAATTAGACCCCGTTTATATCTTTCCCGTCGTAATTTTAATTATGCTGCAGTTTTATTTATCTAATAAAAAATTTAAATATAAAATTTTTTTATCTCACAAAATTCACACTAATAAATTAAATTTGATAATTTCAACGTTACAATTTTATTTATCTCATAAAAAATTTGAATTCACAATTTTTTTATATCACAAAATTCACACTAATAAATCAGAATTGATAATTTTAACGCATAAACTAAATAGATCCTTACAACTGCACCTTAAATTATTAAAACTGTAAAATTCACGGAACTTGTTTAGATTATAGGTTCAAATTAGTGGTTGATTAAAATTTAAATTTTTTGCAACAAAAAACACTACAACAAAATCTTGAACTAGAATCCTCCACTAAATAAGCTTGTAATTTTTCAAATCATATCACATGTGAATCCCGTATTCTAAACCATCAATTTAAATCTCGTTCACTTCACGGATTTGAGTTTTCAATTCAAATTGAGATGTGACATTTTCTGAGAATTTTTCACTGTAACAGAAAAAGTTAAATGTGATATTTTTTGAAAACTTTTTATTGTAGAAACTTAAAACTGAAAATTTGAATCGGTAAAATGAACGAGACTTGATTTTTTGGAAACTATTATCAGAACAGAGATTCATGGCAGTGGCAAAGGCAAACAATTTCTGATGCCGATGCTCAGAGATATCACCACCTATTCCAATATAATTGAAACCTCTATAAGACCAGAGGTTCGCCGGAAGTTCAACCGTAATATGATCCAGTAGATCCATGGCGACCGATTTCTGATATGAATGCTCCGACAACCCACCGCCATTAGCATGCTCTTTGAAATTGAGTTTTTTTTTTTTTTTTTTTTAGCCATTTAAGTTTTAAAATATAAGGGATACTTTAGACATTTGCGTTATAAAAGTAAAAACGTTGAATATTTTTAGCATTCACACAAAAATTTGGTATTGCATTTAGAGATCCTCCGAAACCATTTAATAGCGTCTTCAGCGAACTGCCCCTATTAAACACACTAACTAGGATTTCCAACTCTTCTCAACCAAAGAAACATCAGGAATAGCTTTGTAAAGATTGATGACACAATAAATAATATAATAAAACTCAATATACACTTGGCTATAACTGCCATTCTTTATTTTTCAAAAGGGGAACACAACTTATATATACACTTGGAAGTTTCACTTTTCACAAAGAATGCCCCTACAAAGAAGAGATTTAACCTGCTGTCTGCCCACAAAGGATGAAGGCATGAATAAGGCATTGAGCAACAGACATTTGATTGGGATTTCCAGATACTGTAACAAGCCCTTCTAAGGCTCCGGGTTGTACATCGTTTACCACCACCTGCGCCCCCGAGATCTGAGATGACGATATCCGCAGTTAGTCCAATTAGACATACAACAAAGTGAAAATCAAAGCCACAATGATGCTAAGGGCTCTTATCAATATATATCAAAACTCAGGGCACTATACATAAACTCACCTGCTGGATCTGACTTAAATTACTGTTATTTTCTCCATAAACATGGCTTAACAACTTTTGAGGAATCATGATCTCAACAATTGCACTTGAATGTGGGGCTTGACTCTCACTGCTCAAATAAAAAAATAAAAAAATGATATATGAATGCGCACACATAATCATTAAGCTATAAAAAGCAGAGCTTTTTGATGATTTCTTTTTCCCAACTCCTCTCCTAGAAATCTAGATGTCTCATAAATGTAGTAGTGCCAAAATCATCAGGACTTATGAGATATATTTTATGGCCAATATTGAGACATTGACTAAATGATATCACTGTATATTGATACCATGACAGCTCAATTACCCTAAATCTCCCAATCTTAATAGTCACCAAAGTGGAAAATGAGCATAGACAACAATTAATAAATGAAAAAAAAGTCACCTTCCCTGAGGTCCCTTTCTTGAAGCAAAGCCTGGACCATTATCTCCAATTCCCCTGGGAGTTCCACTGCTAATCCCCTGTAAAAATACCACCGAAGAAACAAACATGAAAAATCAAAATTTTGTAGTAGGACAAATTCCTCCCATATATAACACATTTCTTGAAAAAGCACAACACGCCAACCTGAGGATTCCACATTCTTGGAGAAGATGGTCTATCATACGTTCGACCATGACCTGATCGCTCACTTCCATAAGGATAGGGAGCTCGGTCAATTTGAGAGGGAGTGTTGTGATCCATGCCATGTGAAAATGGATGCAGGTGGTCAAGCAGTTGGGATGGAACAGCCGAATGGTCAATTCCATGAGGGAGCCCAACAGGAGAAGGACATGGACCGGGGGAAGCAGGGTTATGCCTAGGTCTAAACATGGGAGGAGGCATGTCAGGGTACGCGGAAGCATACGGTGGGCCATCAAAATTTGGATGGTGTGGCTTCGTAGGAATAATTGTTTCGCGGAGTCTACTTGTTATGTGAAATAAGGCATCCTGTACACACTGCAAGCTTCCAATAACCTGCGAAAGAAATTTCATTAAAAAAATAGAGGAATCATGAAATATAAACAGTTATCCTTCTACTTATTTAGTTTATAAAAGTTGGAGAAGTACATCAGCTCATATTAATGTCTGTAAAGTGGAAATAGTACATGTCAAACAAATGATACATATCAGTATTGATAATCCAATATTTTAGCAGCAAAATGTATATATCAAGTAGACAAATACGTTGGAGATAGAAAATTAAAGTAACCAAAGTACAAGGTGGAATGAGCACTATCACAAAAAATCCACAACGTAATTACCTGTACAACTTCGTCATTTTGTGTGCCACATTTTGGGACTTGTTCCTTCGTGAATATGCGTATGCTAGCACCAGTAGCCCTTCTCATTTCAGAAATTATGAAACCACCTTTGCCCAATAAACAACCTATCTGCTGCGAATGCACAAGAAGCCTAGCAACTACCGCAGCACCAGGTTCAAAACCAATTTCTGCCGTTCGTGAATGCACACGGATAACAGCTTCCTGTGCAGGGGAATGTTTCTGCTCTGAATTCTGCAACCAAGAGAAAATACCACCATAGAACATAAGTGGTGATTGCTATAATAATCACTTATCAGAGAAGAACGTCTAGATCATTAATGCGTTAATTTACAATCACAGTTATAATGGCATAGTGTTCAGGCATGGTATAACATGTTTCTCCTGTTCAACTTAACAAAAACAAAGTCGATGCTCAGTATTCCAGGATAACTATTCATCGAGTCAATAGTTACTCACTGTATGAGCTTTCTACACGGGAGATCTTGGAAGAACCAAAATTGAATATTGGATCTCAATTCCTCATCCTCTGCACATGATCCACAAGCCACCAAATAGTAACAAAGGCAAATATGTCTTATGTCCTTAAGAGTTAAGACCACCTATGGATAACTTTAAACTAATGAATAGTGAAGAAACACGAAATGGACCTGGTAAGATTTTTGTGGTACCAAGAAAATCCGACCAATTTAATAAAATTATCCCAAAAAGTATTTCGGTAAAAGGTTATGCAAACCCCAAGGAACATGTCTTGGAGATCAACAAACACCTTCTGGCTTACTTATTAATCCAAGATACCATGCTAGATAAGGGATTATGCTCATGCAGAGCATACATGCCGCATTATAAATACAACTTTGTTTTCAGATCTTTTTTTTTTCTTTTTTTTTTTTTCCACAGGTTCTTGCAGTGTCAAGCCAAAACATATCGCATCTTGTTTCAGAAAAGAAAATAACAAGACAGAAACTCAAAGAAAATTAACCTCATAATACCTCTCGTGCAGATATCAAAACCACCCGCTCATCTGAATCCGGAGGAGCGTCAACTATCTTGATAAATGCACCAGTTTCATTTTGCAAATGTCGTATTACAGAGCCACCTTTCCCTATCAAACTACCAACCTTTTCAACTTGGCATAACAACTTAAAAACCACCTCCTCTTCTATAAACATTCTATGACCAGTCCCCATATTTTCAGGCCCTGTAACATAAAACAACTTCTTGAATAAAAATACACATCATAAAAGCCAGATGCAAAAGTCAGTTTGCGGGGGGAAAAAAAAAAAGAAAAGAAAAAAGAGCCCTAAACTGTTGCAGGTGTACGAGTACCATGAAGCAGTCTCCCTGAAAATTTTCCAGAACCCGAGTTAGCTGCATCCAACCTAGGCTTATCCTGAAGACAACCTGAAACAGATAGAAGTGCTTTCTTTACAGCTACAATATTTCCTGTTATCTGCGTATACAAAAAATAGCTTTAAAACTACCTGTAAAGAAAAGAAACAAAAAACAACAAAGTAGAAAAATTCTAAAACAAGTCAAGTCATATGCCACACGTGTATGAGCCTAAAAGTTCTTTGTTTTGGTTTTTTTTTTTAATGTTTTTTTAAGCCTTTCAAATGGATTTAAATATACATAGACATATACGTATACATATATATATATATATATATCAAGCCTTTCATTTTTTATTTTAATTTCCCAAACCTTAACACAAGAATTTTTTGCAATGTCCCACATTTAACTAGAAGCCCTCAAATGCATCCACTAAAATATAAGAAAAGAAGTTCCGAATCCGACATATTAGATAAGGATGTTATGACTTAGTGATATTATTTACAAGGGATGAGATGTTGATTTTTTTTAAAAATTTATGTATGCATTAATTATTAAGAAACTATAGTGTGACAATATTGCATAAAAATTATATTGACAGGGGTTAAAATTATATTTTTCACAGAACATATAATGGTAGATGTCAAAAGTTATCATATTTAAGCTTGTGATAATTTATTATTACATAAAAATATCAAATATTATTTTTTTTACAATTAAAATATAGTTTTTAAATTACTATCTTTCAAATAAAAAGTTTTTTTCAATAATTAAATTATGTTTTTACTATTTTAATTAATTAAAATATTAAATTATTTAGGATTATTAATCAAGGGTATTTTTGTCAAAATACAATTTTTTCAATTCCATTCCATTATCAACCAAACAGCATAATCCTCATTCAGGTGTTGATTCCATAACTCCAATCAAACAATGGAATCAGTTTATGATTCCAGCGCATTCCAATTTCATCCCCATTACCATTCCCATTACCATTCCTATTACCATTCCGTCACTGTAACCAAACGCACCCCAAGTGGTTTGGTAAGTTGGAAAAATGGAGTAAGGATTCACATTATTTTTTTATTTTTATTTTTATTTTTTTTTACGTAGTGCATTCTAAATTAGACCCCGTTTATATCTTTCCCGTCGTAATTTTAATTATGCTGCAGTTTTATTTATCTTATAAAAAATTTAAATATAAAATTTTTTTATCTCACAAAATTCACACTAATAAATTAAAATTGATAATTTCAACGTTACAATTTTATTTATCTCATAAAAAATTTGAATTCACAATTTTTTTATATCACAAAATTCACACTAATAAATCAGAATTGATAATTTCAACGCATAAACTAAATAGATCCTTACAACTGTACCTTAAATTATTAAAACCGTAAAATTCACGGAACTTGTTTAGATTATAGGTTCAAATTAGTGGTTGATTAAAATTTAAATTTTTTGCAACAAAAAACACTACAACAAAATCTTGAACTAGAATCCTCCACTAAATAAGCTTGTAATTTTTCAAATCATATCACATGTGAATCCCGTATTCTAAACCATCAATTTAAATCTCGTTCACTTCACGGATTTGAGTTTTCAATTCAAGTTGAGATGTAACATTTTCTGAGAATTTTTCACTATAACAGAAAAAGTTAGATGTGATATTTTTTGAAAACTTTTTATTGTAGAAACCTAAAACTGAAAATTTAAATCGGTAAAATGAACGAGACCTGATTTTTTGGAAACTATTATCAGAACAGAGATTCATGGCAGTGGCAAA